ATCCAATGCAAATACGTGCCTGGTCATTGGCTGGTTTGCCGGCAGATAATTTTTCTGTTGAGAATGGTATCATTGTAACGAATTCAAATCGTTATTCACTGATGATAGATCCACAGGGTAAGTATAAACTATAATTAGAATGTAACTTAATAATGCAAAATTAATTACGGTTGTAGAACTATTTCAAACTATTGTTATTGAATATATGGTATTAAAGCTTAATTAGTTTTATACATTAAAAACAATACATATTAATTACAGATTACATTAATTTTCACAAGAACTTTAAAATGTTTGCATATTTTATCAATATTTTAGGTTTTTTCATACTTGTAGTTGAGATAATTAGTATATCGACAATACTTCTAATATACTTAACTCGAAATGATGCAATATTTTCATAATTTTGTTTTGAAAATCATAGCTTGATGAAAAAGCTCTCATATGCTTAATGCAATTTTCTCAACTGAAATTTAGTTTATAAATTTAATTCCTACAGACTTCGAATTAAAATTTATGCTAATAATGAAACGTTAAGTTTTAAAATCAGTTTAACAATTTTAAGAGTGCATTTCCAAAAAAAAATAAAATAAAATGTAACTTTATAAAAAATAAGAAGTAGTAAACGGATTGTTTTTGTTTTATTTACGCAAAAAAGTATAATATAATAATAATAAAATAAAAAATAATAATAAAATAAAAAATAATAATAAAATAAAAAATAATAATAAAATAATAAATAATAATTAAATAAAAGTAAGAAACTAAATATTAAAAGAAACTCAATATTTTACTAAATCTCTAAAAAGAATTTTTAAAAGAAATGGTAAAAAAAGCAATGTGAAATGATATGGGATATATTTATATATACATATATTAACTTAGGTTAGGTTAATGTGGCAGTCCGATGTAAAACCAATACTTAACACGGGACCTTGACATTATTATAGTGAAATAGTCGAAGACATTTCTAATAATTGAAGATATAATTACCTAAATTATTCGCTCTGCTTCTGACTAGAGCTGGGCAGTTGAATAAAAGGTGTTCCATTCTTTTTTCCTTTTCTTCATTTAAAAATTTCTACAATATTCACAGGAGCGAATTTTCCGCTTTTCCGAATTTTTACTTTTAAACGCATATCTAATAAACTGTCAGTAATTGATAATAAAAACCATGGCCTGAAATGTATCCCCTCTTAGTAGGTTTAATAGATTCATTGATTTTTTTTGTATAAAATTTTGACCACTTTAACTTAAAGATCAGACCTTTATATGCACATAACGTACTGGTGTCTCTACTGACTCTATTCCTCCACAATAGTTTACAGGTGAGGACAGAAACTAATTGCAAACTAAAAAAAAATTATTAACCTGACTGGCTAATAGAATTTCCTTTAATATTTTAAAACTTATATTAACTTGACCCAGACACCAGACTAATATCATTTAAATTTCCAGGTACTTTTCAGCAACATTTGTTCTTAACATCATCACCAAGATTATTGTATAATCTTAATTTTAGATTTTTTTGCACATAAAATGTTTCATAAATTAAAAATTTAAATTTAAAATTGTAATGTAAAAATCATATTAAAAACATTTTACTTCATACAAACTTTAATACACTGCATTTTAAACACAGAATCAAAACAAAGTTTTAAAAGTTAAAAATAAAATTTTAAAATTGAATTCTTATATTTAAGAGCATATGTATTTAATATTATATAAAATAAAAAGAAAAGATTATTTGTATCATGTTTAGTATCCGGCTTTCTAGCGTATAGTTTTCATTTTAATTAAGAGTTTGAATATTTTCTTTTTAATGCATTCCAATTGGAATTTAAAATATTTTTATTAAGAGGTTTTTCAAACAGTAGTGAACTACAACAAAATAAATTCATTTTATATTATTTTAATAGTTGAATTTTTGGCTGACCATACAGCTGTTTCAAGTATTGCGAAATACCCATCATCAGTGGTCTAATTCTTGTATATAATTATCCCTAAATAATTTTATCAGACTGCAAGTATCAGAAATTGAACTCGTGCCCTGCCAAATTTGAAGCTCAGAGTCAGTGTTCATTAACCAACTGGCCCAAAGCAGTATTTTAGTTATGTATTCGTAGTTGGAGTTTTGTAAAATTGCTGTAAAAGTTCACTTCCAAATTCACTTACTTTGTTTATATTAGAACGAAATCATAAACCAGGTGTAGAATAATTGAATTAATTAATTATTTTTATTTTTAATTGTTAAATTTTAATACTATTCTATTTTTATTGAAAAATAAAATTGAGTGTTATCATAATTGATAAGTGATGATTCCAATTTTAGCACTTTTCGATTAAGTCTCAAAATATTACTTAAAAGAATTTATTGAATTTATTTCTTTTACAATCTAGAAAACGTAGGAAGTTTAAACAACAATGTGGAAACGTGTTAAAAAAATAATCATTTTTATTACTAGTGTTCTTTTTAATACTTTTAGCTATTCTAAATTTTTTTTTTAATTTAATTCTCTGAGGGTACCATTAATGTGCTTTACTCTTCTAATAAATCAATTTGCTAAGTCAAAATAATTCAACAAAATCGTCAAGTCAATTTATTTACTAACATTTACTATAGAGTCAAATATTTTACTGATGGATTACATATGCCATTAATTTACATACATACAAACATATTTACTCATATCATCCTCTTAAATTAACAGTTCAAGCCAACAAGTGGATAAAGAATATGGAAAAAAAGAATGACCTAAAAGTGATCAAGCAGACCGATTCCAACTATATGCAAGTACTCGAATTGGCTATTACGTATGGTAATCCGGTGTTGATTGAGAATGTTGGTAAGATTACGCAGAATAAATTCATAAGTATTTCCTATTTCATTTAAATTTATATTTATTTATTTATTTATTTCATCACATTCATCGCATGAAATATGGTTGAGTACTTTTTATTGAGCCATGAGCTATGAGCCATGAGCACAATACAATTTGGTAGCTTGTTTATTTTTCCGTTTTTATTTATTGTTCGTTAGTTTGTTATTTATTGTTTACTTATATACTTATTATTTTTTTTATTTTTTGTTTATTTTTATTGTAAATATTGTACTATTTATTGTGGTTATTATTTTATTAAATGAATGAAGTCATCCATTAAAATTAGCAATGTTCAAGATTGATGATTTAATGAAATCAAGCAGAAAACATTTAAATCCAAAATGTAGCGTAAAATTAAAAATAAACCAAGTAGTACTAATCAAAATGAAATCAAATTAAAAAAAATTTAAATATGCTACAAATTAAATTCAGTTCAGCCGAGAAAAGTCAACAGAAGTAAAACAATCTCAATCTCAAATGAGAAATACAAACAATATCGAAAAGTTAAATTAAGCATGGTAACTTTAAGGCTTCATATCTTTTCACTTTTTGTTTACTTCAAAATTATTTTGTAAACTCATAACAATTACAAAAGAATACTTAACAAAATCAAATTGCAGCGAAATATATATTTTTTTTTGTTTGAATTTCTTTTTCAGAGAAGTGAAGAGTAAAAAGTTTTGCAGGATTTCTTAGAATATAATATTATTATACAAATCTTAGATGGTCTGTTCACGGTAGCTACTTCATAATTTGTTTTTATTCAATTGTTTTTGTTGAAAACTCACTTTTCCAAAAGGGTTCTGCTTGAGTTTTATTACCTTTTTGATGGTACGGTTTTTATTTCATTATTTAAGTTTTTATATTAAATAAAATTTTATTTAAATATTTTCAACTAAAACACACAGTTTCAATATTAGTAAAGCGTATTTGTTTTTTTGGTCTGTCTTAAGAGTAAATAATAATAACTCATTAAAAATAAATGAATGTATACACCGCGATCTCTAGGATGTCTTAAGAGTAAATAATACCTCATTAAAAACAAATGAATGTATACACTGCGATCTCAACATCCCCTAGTTAAGAATGTTATAAAAAAGTCAATCAGAAATCACAAAAAAAACGTAATTCAATATCATCCCTAACCATTTTGATTAGTAGGAATTTTTGCAGAAGGAAGACGGATGTGCTACTGAGCACAGTCCATTCAAGCCCACAAAATGTTTAAATATTTAGTCATTTACTCTTAAATATTGTTAATTGTCTATTCTTAAGTGACAGATCACAATAAGAGAAAATAAATTTAAAAAAAAGCTAACATAACAAAATTTCTACCGGCTAATACAATATACATAATCCAATATATGACAATTATATGGTATATATGGTATATATGGTATATATGGTATATAGTAATTAAAATTATGAAACAAATATTGTTTTTATTTTTAATTATTTTTTGTATTAATTTAAATTAACAATCTGTTTACAGTCTCAGACAATGAACAAAAATGTTTATTTTATTTTATTCAATTAACAGAAGAAGATACTTAATATAGTGTTAATGGCAACTTTTATAATGCACACTTCACTGACACTTAAGTAAAGTGTAGTATAACTATTTTTCAACACTAAACAATTAATGATTTCTAAAATGCTGAAATTATAATATTGTAAAATAAGCAAACTGACAAAATAAATTTTAAAATTAAAAATATATCCCAGTAAGGTAAAACTGAAAATTCAAATAAATACGTATAGTAAAAATGAATATTGAGTATTAGTTGTGAAATTGCGATCGTTATAAATACTAGAATCGATTAGTTTGTCTAAGAAGCACAAACATTGTGTGTAAGAGGAGTGAGGGTTACAATTTTAATATTAACCGTGAAAGATGGTGTTAAAATGAAGTATCTCCAAAAAATAGCTCAGATACTTTTTAGACTTTTCTCTATATTTTTATTCATCACGAACTTTTTTTACCAGATTTTGATAACTTCTTTAAATAACTTAAATATTTTTTAAAAAATTCAAATTTTCTAATACAATAATTTTTCAGACTTAATAAAAAGAAAAAAAAAACACTAAAAATTTAGATTTCACAACTAACACTGCTCGAGACTATTTAAAAGCATATCCAATTCGTAGTTCTTTGCTTCATCTGGAGTCCAGAATTTCTACTAAATTCTATTTACATATTTATATTTATATTGTCTTGTCGTAAGATTGACTTTACAATTTTTGAAATTTATTTTTTAAGGTCTAAGAAAAGTTTTTTAAAGTTAGATAGTTCAAAAACACTTAGATCTAGCTATCTATTTGAAACGTTTCTTGAAATATTTTAGATATTAAAAATGCTAGCTCAGTATACTATAAACCAGCGACCATAACAGTTATCATTAAAAAATAAAAATCACCTTTTAACTGTTATTCATATACCTATTAAAATAAATACGTACAAAACTCACATGCAAAATGCATTTTATATTTTTGTTTTTAAAAATATCACAGGCACGCAGTGTGAGTTATATTTTGTTTTCAGAAAAAAAAGTTATTCTTGAGTTTTATATTCTTAAGGCAAAAATGAGAGTTATTTGTGTGTTTTGAAATAAAAAGCGGAGTGAGTGCAAGAGTTATTTGTGCGTGCAAAATTAAAAAGCACTTGATAATAATTATTCTTGATAAATATAATATAAAGCAAATTTAATTATTATTTTTTTGTGTTTTATTTTAAAATGCTCATATATAAAAATCATACGTCATATTAAGAATGAAATTTGTTAGAATGATAACTATATACTTAAGTATGAATTTAGACAACTTTTCGTTGGTGTTGTTTTTCTTAAAAATTTTTGAAATAACTGTTATTTTCGATCCCTGCTTTAAATCTCAGAGAATCACAGCTTAAACACAGCATAAGTGTTAAGAAGTTATCACACACGTATAAGAATTTGTAACATTGTATCACTTTTTAAATTGATTTTATTAATTATGTTCATATATATATATTTGAAAAGCCTTAATTCGTATAGTATTCAATAAGCACTATAACTTATTCAATATTGCTTATTGTTTATAAATTAAGCACTTGTAACTTACTCTATATAAAGCAGAATTAGGTATTTAACGTGAATCAAGGAATAGATTTTATTGATTGATTAATTTCTTTATAGTTTCAATTTCTTTCATAAAGTTTATTGTGCAATAATATTATCAATATTAATAATACCTCAGCAACAAATAAATTGGAATAGTGTTAACAGTGCATAATGCAACGTTGCATATTTCACCACTGCTCCAGACAAGTTGTTGCCTCAGCTTAACATAAATATTCAAAATAAGTTATTTCACATTTGCTAAATTGCTTAAAATATAAATTGAATGACACAATTTAGTAATGTGAAATAATTTAATTATTACCTTAATCAACGCTTAAATTCTACCTTAACAATATATTCTTCTCATACATTATTCTGCATTTATAACTGAATAAATGTATTCACTCAATTTCAGGTCAACGTTTGGATTCAAATTTAACACCAATTCTTGAAAAGAATATTATTAAACATAAAGGTGGCTTCTTTATTAAATCCGGTGATACTATGATAGAATACAATCCAGATTTTCGGCTTTACATTACAACTTGTCTACGTAATCCACATTATCCGCCTGAAATCATGGTTATGGTAAGTTTACATTGCAATTGCAGTTTACAGAGCAATAAAATAAGAATGTTAAATATAGAAATAAAAATACAAAATAAGATTTTACGAATATATACAAAACCTAACCAAAGTAAAAACTTTTAATATCGACATTTTGGATTGATAGTCAAACTCTACCAAAGTAGACACACAGAAACATATATACCATACATATAGACAATAGCATAAAATTTTACTCCCGAAAAATGTAAATTTTTCTTGAGGCCAACTTGGTGCGAGGAAGAATTCTCTGTCGTTACACTGAACGCGTTCATATGGAAAATTTGTTAACATTTTGCTGCTGTCAGCATTTTCTTTTGCTGTTACATTTTCCAATTTTAATTTTGTCCTTTTGAATGTTTACTTTATTTTCATTACATCTTTATTTTCATTTTTTTTTTCCATAAATGAAAGACTGCAAATTTCGTTTTTCTAAATTTTATTTTTATTTTTATTATAAATTTTACTATTTTTGTCATTCCTGTTGTATTCTGGATATTTTTTCCAGGTAACGGTAATAAATTTCATGATAACGGAACAAGGTTTGCGCGAACAATTGTTAGCCAATGTTGTGGCACGCGAACGTCCTGATTTGCAAGCCAAAAAGGAGCAACTGATTATTGAGTCTGCAAGGAATCGAGATGCTTTATATACAATCGAATCGCAAATTCTGGAGGTAAGCACTTTGCTTTGTTTTGAAATTCAATTACTGCTTTGTTTTCATTTTATTTTTTCTGTAAATTAATTTTTCTATTTTCATTTTAATACACTCCTTTTTATTTTTTTATAATTTTTTTTTAAATTCTACTAGAAAATTTTAAGTTTTGTTTGTTTCTCAATTTAGTTTTATGCTATTTTTTATTAATATATCGATATCTGATACGAATTTCATAAGCCAGCGTATTGTACCGTAGCAGCGCGATGGCAATAGCAAAATTCAGAATTTATGGCATTGACAATTCAATTATCTGGAAAAATTGATTTTGTATTTTCAGTTTTTGTAGCAGATTTTTAACTGAAGGTTTAGATTAGTTTAAAAATATGAAAACAAAAACAAATCATTGAAAAAGAGTTCGAAACTCAAAGATAAGAACTTAATTAAATATTATATAAAAGCATTTCTTCGTTATTTTCTTAAGTATTTGACATTTTTGAATAAAAGGAATAAATATCATTAGTTTATATTAAGAAAGTCATGTTTATGTACTTATTCTATATGAACAATCGGTGAGTTATCATGAAACATAATCATTCAATGAGCTACGCAAATATTTTTTAACACTGAATCCTTTTTTTTCATCGCTACCGATTTCTAACCAAACTACACCAGAACAACACCTCTTCTATAAAACGAAAAAAAATTCAATACAGTCTGTTAAGAATTCGGTGCAAGTCTGTATTCCCTGAGAGAGATGGAATGGTCAACTTGCGAAATGAGTGCATGAAGCGCAGTATTGACAGACTTGCCTTTAGTATATGCATGCTGTGATGAAGATAAGAGCACCTGGTTTATAGTATTCCTGATATGAAGATCTAAAACCCTCTCTAGTACTTTTAAAAGAAAGAAGGACAGACTGATTGGTCTATAATGTTTAGCACTGCAGTGAGTTGTTTTCCCCGCTTTGGTAATGAAAACTACACGAGCCACTCTCCAGAAGCTTGGATAATACATTAGTTTGAGACAACTATTGTATATGCTTAGAAGACAGGGAAGGATGACAAATTCTCCCTGTTGAATGTTAGCGGGAATGATGCCATCCGGACCTGGGGATTTATATGGTTTAAAGGTTTGTTTATGGCTCACTTGATTTGGATGTTGGTCACTTGAAACGGATTGGGATTATTTGGAGGGAGCAAACTGATTTGAGTTGATAAATCAGCATTAGAGACTACACTCCCTGGAAAGTGCGAGTCCAGAAGAATGTCAAGAGTTTTCTTGGTGTTGGTCCATTGACCATTTGGAGTCCAGATACAATCAAGGGCCTTGTGAGTGGAATTGAGAATTTTACACAGTCGGCTAGACTCAGAGGAGGATTCTATGTTACCACAAAAATTTTTCCAAGCTGCCCTATTAGTCCGCCTAATGGGGTATTTAAATTCCCTTTATTTTCCTTTATAAGGTGCCCAGTTTCCTGTAGCTTTGGCATCATTGAAGAGCTTTCTGCAGGTTTTACGGAAGTCTGCAATGTTTAAGTTCAACCAAGGCGGTTTGGGTTTGTCCCTAAATTCGGATAGCTTGCAGGCCGCGTTTGTAGCGCATCTAAATGCTGATGTGAGATGGTCAACCGCTCGATCAATATCGGAACAATTGAGAATGGTGGGAGGGACAAATTGTAAGTTGGACTTAAGGTCGGATCGAAACATATGCCATTCAGTACGTTTTCTATTCATTGGTTTAGATGATCTGTTCAATTCAGGGTTCACCACAAAATCAAGATCAAAATTGATGTACCTGTGGTCAGAAAAGGAACAATCTTGCGATACGGACCAGTTAGCAAGAAAATAAGAGGAGTGTTTGCCAATCAGGGTAATATCGAGAACTTCCCTTCTATAAGAAGTCAATAAGGTCGGTTCCCTACCTTTGTTAGCAATAACCAAGTTACCTGCAAGTATGGACTCACCTCACGTATTAGTATCGGCCCCACATCTCATGATGTGCATGTTAGCTCAATATAATTTAAATTTAAAAACTTCATGATTTTTTACGTCGCCTTTTGAAAGTTAATAAAAAGATAAGAAGATGCGTTATTACTCAATAGATGTAATATTAAACTCGGATGTGGACGGCTATAAAGATCACCTGCACAAACTAAACCCCTTCGAATCAGACGAAAAGAGATATATCAAACAAAGGGACAACAGATGCATCTCTGCTGCGAACAAATGCAGATATAACTGTGAAGATGAAAATAAAATTAAGCATTCAAATACGAAACTCAATCTTGTACTTGGCAATTGCCAATAATTAGAAAACAGAAAGTAACAGAAAAATACTTAAAAGTAATTAAAAGGAATTACATAACTAATGCGGCTCCTTCAATTACATTCACTCAAATAGTGAAATAGTGATTCTCTTGACTGTAATCTTTATTAGCTACTATTTTTACAAAAGTATTGAAAATGGATGTCATCGCAATGCTGGTTTAAAATAACTACAAAATTTTTAATATACCTTTTAAAGAACCTTATAGACCCACCAATAATTGTAGTTGCCTTTTTGATCTACTTCCCTCCCACAATAAGTAAATAAATCAACCTTAAACGAAATTTTCACGAATCACTTCTGCCTAAATTGAAATCTCAAAGTTTACTGATGTATTGTAGTAATACTTGACTGAATAATATTATAGTATGTTTTTTATACATTCATAAATTCTATTTTAGGATATTACACTCATTTTAGTTAAACATTTTATTTATTAACAAAATACAAACTCAATTTTTTTTTTTTTAATTTTAAATAAAAAAAATTTACTCACAAAAATCTTTTATCAATACTTATTTATTTTCATTCATCACAGGTCTTATCTAAATCTGAGGGCAATGTGCTGGAAGATGAAAATGCTATCAATATATTGTCATCGAGTAAAATACTTTCTGAGGAAATACAAGAGAAGCAAGTAATAGCCGTTACCACCGAAGCAGAAATTGATGCTGCACGTCAACAGTACATACCAGTGGCAAAGCATTCTGCCATTCTGTTCTTCTGCATCAGTGAAATGGCGAACATCGATCCAATGTATCAATATTCGCTTGGTTGGTTCCTGAATTTGTTTTTAACAGCAATTGCCAAGGCGGCTAAATCCAACGTACTATCCGAACGTTTGAATAATTTAAATAATTACTTCACCAAATCAATTTATCAAAATGTTTGCCGTTCGCTATTTGAAAAACATAAGTTGGTCATTTCGTTGGTAATGTGTTTAGGAATTATGGTGTCTGTCGTGAGTATATATTAAACAAAACTGACACTTTAAATTCAGTGCCTTCACATATTGTTTTAAATATTTAAAGCAATTTATAGTGTTATTGCCTATTTTAGTGCTACTGTAAGTCAGAAAGGCAAATGCTTTCATTACAATTTTTAGTGCTGTTATAATCTAAAGCGCATTAACTTAAAGCCAAGTTAATGCCTTTACGTTATTTTACATCCAAAATAATTTAGAATATTTTTGCTTTTCGGTAGTACCAATGTTCATTTCGCGCTTGTTTTCTATCTTGTTTTAATCATTATTAATTTTTCATTTAATCCTATTTCATTTGCATGAAAAAACATAAAACTGCAATCATCTAAATGGAACTTGCCATTTGCTAATTTTCAACTCTGCTCTGCCGCTTGCACGAATACAACAACTGTAATCCTGCTAACTCTGACACATCTTTTGAATGCCTTTGGAACAACAAACAACAAATAACGTAAAACTATCTTTCTACTACTCAAAATAACAAAAAAAAAAAACATAAATAACAATTACTTTGAAAATAAATGTTTTTAAACAAAAATGCAAACAACAAATCCAAAAATTGTTACATTCAACACCGAAAGGAAAGAGTGAATAAAGCGCATTTATTATTCTTCTTAACTGGAGGCGTTGGCTTGGGAAGCCTTCCCCCTAATCCAGCTTCAAGTTGGCTTCCCGAAAAATCATGGGCACAAGTAGCACGCGCTAGCGATTTACCGGGGTGAGTAAGTTATTGTTAAGCTTGAAAAGAAGTAGTCGCAAGGAAGTGAGTATCACTTTTGGCTTTATTTATTTGTAATTTGGTGATGTTGTTTTTAACTCAAACTTTATTTGCCTTTATTTGAAGTTACACAAACAATTGCCAATTTTGTAAGCCAAAGTTACATTTAAATATGCATTTTATTTAGAATGAATTTTTTTTATTATCATTTTATAAGCACTTGAAAATTAATTAATTTGAATTATAATTAAAGTAATTAGTGACTTTTAGATGATTTATGCAGACATTTAATACGAAAGAAGGGTTGTGAGGAGTAGCTAAAACCCCAGAAAATTAACGGCAGGAATCTAAATGCACATATCTATATGCACCTTGCATATCTATATGTATCTATACATATTTATATGTTTGGACCTTGCTATTAGGTTCATCTTTCGCAGGACATTGTACAATTCTAGTTCCTTTCAAAGTAATTTTCGATGACTTTGGAAATAGCTGACCATAACTTAACAGAAATTAATTTTCAAAACGTTGAGAGTTTGAAGAATATATTAAACTCACCTTTCTTTGCGTCAACATATAGTATACGCCAGAAGTGATAAAGTCGAGTGGTGATAAGTTGCATAACTTTAGTGATCAAATCACACCATCAAAATTAAGTTATTAGTTTTAAGAAATTTTACACGCAACAAAGCCAAAGCAGAAAATTGTGTGCGGGTTGTGACTTATGCCACCATTTTGTTGAAAGTATATATCTTTGACATCCATATCTTCATTAATGGGCTAAACATAATTGGTTATCATGTGACTACGATCGTGAAATGCAACACTATAAAATATATTTTTATGGGTCTCATGATCTTTAGACAGTTACGTTCGAAGCTTATCTACTTTATATACATTATGCGATAAGTTTGCTTGTGGACTTATCCACCAACAATAAAAAAAATAATATCAATACATAAAACTCAATGCGATGAGTATATATCAAGTACAGTACCAAATAATAAATTTTCACAATTCTAATGCTTGCAAATGTTATAAAATGATTTATTATATAAAATGGCAAGTCTTCAACTAAATACATGATGCCTTGGATAACTGTTATGTTTGATATATCATAAACGAAAGGGATAACCCTTCGTTCAAACTATATACGTTTCCATAGACTTTTCTACAAATATTAATCACAAAAAAGAAGCTTTCAGTACAAATGGATAACATAAATAAATGGATAACATTTATTTCATTCCTTTAGAATTTGCTGAGAGGTACAGCAGACGAATTAGAAACGTTTTCCTCTTACGTCTTATTGTCTTCAATAAAACTCAAGTAATAATTTTAAAATTATTGGAATACCATTATAAAACTTATTTCAAGTATCTTCATTAAACTGCATTAGACTGCTTTATATATGACTTCAATCTACCAGTGACCAAAATTTATTCCAGTAAAAATATCACTTATTATGGAAAACATTTCTTAGATTAATATACTGAATTTCTCTATAATCGAAAGCTAGAGTATTTCTAAGAAATAATTGGTCAAGTCGAAAAAAATAGTGGCAATTTATCTAAAAAAAAAATTTGAATTATCTAAAACCTAAAAAGGAGCTCTACGATCGTCAAAAGTCAGGATTTCGTAGTGAAATAAAAATGGAAATATTTTCAGACACATTACAACAAATGGTGAGAAGATGAGGTAGGTGTGTGCCTTCGCGCAAGCAACAGATTATTGGGCAGGGAATCGACTAGAAGGATTAGTACCGAGTATGATTTTAACGTGAAGCAAAAGTGTTTAATAACTGATAGCAGTTTTCTCTTCTACACTTCAAGTTTTTAGCCTCACTTTCTTTTTTATAGTATTTGCATTTCAGATACATTTCAAGAATATACTTAGCCTTGATAACATGCTAAAATGGAAAAGTGAAGTCAAAAGCTTTCTAATTAATTTTATTGAATTGAAATGTGATTTTTTGAATTAATTTTAATTTTAAATTAATTTTAGTTTTTTTTAATTTTAATTCTAATTTCAATTTTAGTTTTAATTTTCAATCTTATCTTATTATTAATAATTTAATGTCTCAATAGTTTTTTCCAAAGCAATGGCTTAGGGAGAAAACAATAAATTTAGTTTAAAGATTCATTTATTGTTAGTGTCGTTTTTAGAAAGATTCAATAATTAATTTATAAATTGAAAAAAAAAAAAAATTTATTGTTATTGTATTTCATTGTCATACAAAAAACATAATCACAAATTCTGTTTGCTGTTAGGTCATTTTCATTATCTGATCAAATAATTCTAGCACATTAAAAATATTTATTTTATATTATTTTTTAATAGAAAACTTGTGATTTCATATAAATATTACTTATATTTACTATTGAATTTGATTTACATTTTGTCTATTGTCAAGGAAATTGATATTTTTTTATAATTTATTTTTACCTTTTGAAAGAAAATATGACGAACTTTTTTTTTGAATAGAGAACAGGAAGTTTATAGAATTGAAATTTATTTTTATTCAAATATTTCGGTTTTATATTTATTCTCAAACTACTCTAATTTTGGTATATGAAAGAAATTCTGTTCAAATGAGAATACTGTATATTAAAAGTTTCAACCTCAATTATTAAATAAAAATTTTTTAATATTTCTTTTTCATTTCAAATAGTTTAAAAGATTTCCATAAGAACTTTGCCAATAATCTGAAAGAATGGAAAGCCTTTTATGATTTGCCATCGCCTCAAGATGCCAAATTTCCTGCACCATATGGAACTCTTACCGATATGCTGAGATTGATTGTGCTAAAATGTTTGCGTTCTGATAAAATTGTACCAGCGGTCAGAGTAAGTTTTAAAATTGTGTTAAATAAACATAAAAAATAAATGCATGAATTATATAAATATTATAATATTAAATGCAAACTACAAAAAATTTTTCACAAAAAAAAATAAATTTACTAACCTAAATATCATTTATATTTTCAATATATGAATAACAAATATTTACTTTAATTGTATAAGCGAGTATAATGTAACTGAAAGAGAGATCATCATACTTATCACTACAAAATATTATAATGCTATTAATTTAAATAATATTACACAGTAAAAATATTAATAGGACATCACCATACATATTTGGCGTCATTACAAAATTCTTACTCATGAGATTGCAACTAAACAATATCGAATATATCTCAATAGTTTTTAGTTTTAATACTCGTATTATATATTCTCTAAATATATAATAATATTCAAGCCATTAAGTCACAATTATTTTGTTATACATAAGGAATTCATTACACGGAACATGGACCGTACTTTTGTAGAGCCACCACCTTTTGATTTGAATGCTTCATTTGCTGATAGTTCACCAAAAATGCCACTGGTATTTTTGCTCTCAGCCGGTTCTGATCCAATGGCAAGTCTATTCATGTACGCCAAAATGCGTAACATGTATGACAAGTAAGTTTCTTTATAATTAAATTTAATTATCAAAATTAAAATTAATGGAATTTATAATTAAATTTACAGAACTAGAACTATATCATTGGGTCAAGGACAAGGACCACGTGCTGAAAAAATGATACTTGAAGCTGTTCGTCATGGTCAGTGGGTTGTTTTACAAAATTGCCACGTTGCGACTAGTTGGATGGGTGATTTAGAACGTATTGTAAATGACTCAGCATTAGCCGAATCTGCACATTCGGATTACCGTTTATGGTGTACATCATATCCAAGTTCAACATTCCCGGTATCAGTTTTACAAAACTCTGTAAAAATGACAAATGAACCGCCAAAAGGTTTAAAAGCGAATATGTTACGTTCATTTAGTTCAGATCCATTAGTACGGGACAAATTCTTCACACATGCTTTCGCCTACTCAGATAAGGCCAACAAAAGTTGGTTACGTGGTGTATTCGCTTTGGTATTCTTTCATGCAGTTGTGCAGGAGCGTCGTGAATTCGGTCCATTAGGATGGAATATTCCATATGAGTTCAGTGAATCTGATTTAAAGTAAGTTGAATAAGTGTAAAATCATGATCCAAATTTTATAATAACATTAATAACATTACTAATATTAACACTATTGCTGCAAATTTATTAATAGAACTAACTATAAAACCGGTGGAATATATATATATTGTTTATTTATAAATATGAACTTTCTAGTTCTGAACACTAACTCAGCAACAAATTTATCAATGAAGCTGAATCTTCTTCACTGGAGCATACTTTTTAGCCCGAACAAACGGGATTTATTTAGTGTGGTCGAATCCACTTAAAAAAGACTTTGGGAGCATTCAAAATACGTTTATAAACTATTGCCACTATAAAGGTTACCTTCTGCAATCTTGCGTTGTCTTCGTAAAAGATATTTTTGTCTTATTAATTTATAAAAATTTTTATTTAAAATTATTGCTTTGAACTCTCAAATCAATGATTTGTTTATTTTAATCGATTCATAAAAATCAACTTTTTCTAAAAGCCAGGATTTTACCAGCTGATATTTGCGATTTGAGCGCTTTAAGCGGATTTCAGTTTTCACTCACCTGGCAATTTGACTTTTGATTATAATTAATTTTACATCAAATATCCAAAATCGCAGAGAATATCTTTCTTTCCTTATTTGCTAAGACGCCTACAAACAGCTCTTGCAAATATCAGCACATTTCTGTGTGAAACTTTTTTGACCAAGCGCAAAACCCATATTACGAATATGGATACCTAGTATTACTACTACCTACGACTTTTTATGCCGTATTTTTAAGCTGTTTTGATATTTGAAATAATATCGTATACATTTTTGGGGTCTTTTAAAGATACTACCAATTGGCGACTAAAAATTGATATACTACAAATAGTAAATATAATTGGAATATACTTTCCATTACATGTTATAAAACATTAGCATTTTTCGTACTTTTCAAAATCACAAAATTAGTATTACTAAAACCTGTGTAACTTTTTGACGAAATGTCAAATTGGAATAATAATTTCTAAAAATCATATAAAGTTGTCAATAGTAACATCACGTATATGTCACCAAATTAACTTATTGAATGTGGTTATATTTATTACATAAAATAGTATATCCAGGATGTTATATTTTTATTCACAATCATTTTTTTTTTAGTAAAAATAATAATTCAAAATTCACACAACTTTTGAAACCATGATTCTATTTTAGGATTTCCTTACTACAACTGAAAATGTTCATTGCACAACATGAGTCTATTCCTTTCCGTGGACATATTTATTTAACTGGTGAATGCAACTATGGCGGACGTGTCACAGATGACAAGGATCGACGTTTAATACTTTCACTATTAAATTTGGTGTACAATCCGAATACAGTGGCTGTTGAAAAGTAATTTTAAATTCGTTTCTTATCGATTTGAACTTAGATGTCATGTAACAATAAATTATATTTAAGCATTTATCGTTGTACTTATCGTTTCCTTTTCTAAATCTAACATTTTCTTCTCAGCTTTTCCTTGTCACAATCTGGACACTATAAAATACCTTCATTACCTACACGTGTCAACGCTATCGAATACATATCGACATTTGCACTTAGCCCACAACCAGAGGTATTTGGTTTACATGAAAATGCTGATATCAATCGTAATAATAAGGAAACGGATAGCGTAAGCAATTGTTTTGCGAATAGATGCAATATTTTTAGATTATCAAAAATAAAAAATGTTTAATAATCTATTTTTAGTTAATAAATGGAGTTTTGCTTACCCAAACTGATCTATTAGCATCAACAAAAGCTTCTGGTGCCACTGGTGGAGCAAAAGAAGATCCAGCATTTAAAATTTGTAAGGATATACTTGCACGCCTACCACCAACATTTGATGTTGAGGCAATATCACATATATATCCAGTTATATATACAAATTCAATGAATACTGTGCTTAGACAGGAATTAATAAGGTATTCATTAATTTCTTTTGTTATGGTTAACTAATTTTGGTGTTAAACTCTTAAAATCTTTCTAGATTTAATCGTCTTTTATCATTTATACAAAAGAGTTTAGTTAGTGTTCAAAAAGCTGTGCAAGGACAAATTGCTATGATTCCAGAATTAGAAAAAATTCATGCTCAAATGGTTATAGGAAAACTACCAGATAACTGGCTTAAAAAGAGTTATCCATCACTTAAACCACTTGGAAGTTACATTACCGACTTCCTAGCAAGGCAAGTATATAATTTTGGTGTAACATTTAAATATTTCTTTAAGTATATCGGTATCAAACTTTTTCTGCATATAACATACTAAAATATGTGATAATTCAATAAGTTTACGAAGCAACATCTACTCATCAGGAGTAAACGAAAAACATCAATACTATTTTATTATTTAATTTTTTTTAAGAATATACCCATATTTTGATTTTCATCTGTCTATTCATTTTTTTTTTCACAAACCATTTAAAGCTGATATATCAATTGACTTTTTAAAACAAAATATTGGTTGAAATAGCTATTATAAAAAAGAGTAAAAAAACAACCGAAAATTTTTTCCATCTATACCATCTATACATTTCCTCACACAACTGATTCTTTCATCGCTAAAATCAGTGAATTAAAGCTTTCACCGATTTTGTTCTATTTAAGCCTTCTCGCAATATATTTCTCGAAAAATTTTTTCGTCGAATAAGATTTTCATCAAGCAAAAAGTCAATGGCTGCTATAAGGATGTATTTGTAGTTCTTCTGAAAAACCAATATACAAATGACATCCATTAATTAACGTGTAGTGAAGTTAAATAAGATTTCGATAAATTACAAAATCATTTTTACAACTAAAAATAATAGTGAATTACTTTTTAGCTATTTCGAATGTTGACAAATACTTGTCAGCAGTGATTTTTGAAGAAATTCATTGGCGTAAAAATTCAATTAATTAAATAAAACTTTGTGGGCATGATTCACTACTATTCTAAAACCATTCTATTAGTTAAATAATGTCTTCTCATTATTATCAACTTTAAGAATTAAATTCAATACATAAAACTGTTATTAAGTTTTCGTTCCCTTAATATATCGAACACTCTAGTATTTCTTTAAAAAACTTTTCAATAGCTTAAAATTGCAATATAAAATATTTCTAACAATCAATCTTATATATTAAATACCTTAATTTTAAAAATATTTCCCATTCAAACTTAACTTAAATCATTTAATGAATGCATATAAAATACTAAAACGTTTATATAGAAAACTTTCAAGAAGTCATTTCGCAACCAAAGAGCTTATGCAATTCAATACACATCAACGACCCATTAAACTGATTAATAGATTTTTTTCTTGTAAATATTTAACACTTTAACAGCTTAAGAAGACTCTGTTTAAAAAGCGAACAGAGAAGCCATCGCACGCCTTTATAAAATCTTGAAAGAAATATTCCTTGTTTTTCTTATTCCTTTTAATACATTTTATATACCATTTCAAGCAAATACACATGCACAACTAAAGCAACAACAACTTCTACATTATAGCTTTAAGCCTTTTGCACTTTTCTTGGTATAATTGAAAATACTCAATGGATAAAATAGTGCCTCCAATAATCAGAGAATGCTTGCCATCATTTTGCTTGACTCATTGAAATCTACAACGGCACACAAATAAGAGCTGCGACGATAGCATAGGCACCTGGGGCAAGTTTTACTGGTGAAAAGCATTTTTTGCTCTGCGGCATGCCTTGTGCGACATGTTTTAAACTTTTAATTTTGTAGAATAATTTCCAAAGGATATATCTTACAAAAAAAAAAAAACAAAGAGCATCTACTCTTGATATCGCACAATAGAAAAATATTGCTTAAGAGTGTGTGTATATATTTCTTAATAATGCATTAGAAAAGTTTTACGTTTCTATTAAGCATTGCTTTCTTTTATAAGCAACTATAGTAGTATTTACTGGGTGAAAGTATTTAGTCTAGATAACAAAATAATATAATTTCTACATTAAAGAAAAATCAATTCAATTGACTGGATTTCAGGAGCAATAGTAAAACAGACAGAATAATTATTAGTAGACTGTTCGTACTCTAAATTGTCAGTTTTGTTTAAGTAATTTAATGATTCAGCAGCAGTTTTATTAAATAAGTTAATTCATAAAATAAAAAATTATATCAAAAATTTAAAATATCAATTTTTCATATACAAACATAATGGTTGACAACATAAAATTTATAGAGCGATTATCTAAAATATATTTTTTAATTCAGACTTAAATACTGAAATAATACTCTAACATAAACCAGTCACACTTCTTCTACATTAAGTTTGTATTATTTGAAACTTGGATTTATAAATTTAAAATAAGTTTTGTATAACTAATAATAATTACAAACTACATATAATTTATCTTACAAAGCGTACATTCAACACAAAAAGTATTCTGAATTATTAAATACAATACAAAAAAATTTTCTACTACAATTTATTTGTGCTCCAAGAACTGAAAAAATACCAGGTGTTGTCAAGCCTGGAATAAAGTACCTGTTCTATCACATTTGTTTAATTTTTTACAAATAAACTTTTGCACAACGATAGTTCTGTACCATCGCAGAACACTCAAAAGCATAATTACAATAACAGCCGAGGTGGACATACAGATCGCATTCCAAAATTGGCAAAGGTAACACAGTACTTACTATAAAATTGACTATAAAAACAGTATCTTCCACACGGCAATTTCAAATTATTAATTCCTACCATTTTTAAACATAATGTATTTGTCCACTATCTATTTATATTTGTCTACCATCTGTGAAAAGATGGTATATATAATAGTATACAACTAAATCATGATTAGTTGTATACCTTAACTCAAAATATAAAAACAAAATCATCATGAAGCTTAAATGCATTTCTAATAAATATTGAAAACATGTGATCGATGTCAACAAATGATACCGTAAAAACTGGTTAAAGATACTATCGGGTGAATAAGGTGAACTTTACACAATAAAGCGACACATACACAGATATCCACAATGCTCAGATTCATCTTCATAAAACCTGTTTAAAGGAAACAACGAAACTCTTTAGGAAACTACAAATCCTATGGTTAGAGATCGTAATAGGTGGAAATCTTATTTTGGTAAATGAGGTTTATTTGTTTCCGTAAATAAACTTTTTTCAGATGAATATGATCTTATAAAAAACAAAACGTAATTATATTTAAAAGCAGTATTTAAAAAAATGACACCAAAAATTTATAAAGGAAACAGTAAATCAATCCATAAAACATTTATAGCCACTGCCCATTATTGGTAAATAAATGTAAAGCCTGGTCAGCTAAAAGTATTTAGAGAATAGTTTTCATATTTAGAGTTGCTGAAACAATGCATACTATGAGTTTAGAATAGGTTAGATTAAACTAGTTAAAACCAAGATCCTAAGCATAGTCTCGCAATTCCTTATTGATATCTATTGGAGACAGGGTTGAGAGAATTACTGACATTCCTATATGTCCATTACTATTATAGTTCAATCTCTCAATTTAAATTTATATAAATATTTCTACGTATCACATAAAACGTAGATATATACACGTATATCTAAATAGATTTTATATAGATGTTTCTACTAACTATATCATGTATCCATATATCCATATTCAGATAACAGCAGTGGATAACCAGTAGATAAAAAAGTACTGCAACAAAAAGTATAAGTTTTGTGAATGCTGAATTCAAGAATTCAAGATACAGCTAATATTCCATCACGACCTACTCTCTTAACTCTCTTTTTCTATTCCTAATTCATAAAATTAATTGTTTGATATAAATTTTAATAATTATTTTATATATAATTCCTTTTAGATTGGAGTTCTTTCAAACATGGATAAACAATGGCGAACCAATTGTTTACTGGCTTTCTGGATTTTATTTTACTCAATCTTTCATAACGGGTGTCTTACAAAATTATTCCAGAAAAAATCATTTCCAAATTGATATGATAGAAATAAATTTCGAAGTTACCAAATTTGAAATGGAAGCTGAAAGCTCTCCATCATTGGGTGCTTATATTAGAGTAAGTTTAGATTTAAATGTGCAATATGAAAACAAAATAGATCAACTGAAAACAAAATTATATAATTACACTAAAATATAATTATTATCATTCCTTCAAATGCTTACACTTCCTATTAAAGGAACAAAAGTCTATAAATGACGAGACTAAATTTTTTCATGTAAGACAAGACAGTTTAATAAACAACTAAAAACTTATTGCAATTTCTATTAATTAAATTAAAAACAATTTAGTATATTTTTTTTTAATTTCCTTCATCGTTATCAAACAGGGTCTCTTTTTGGAAGGAGCACGTTGGAATCGAAATTTACAAATGATTGATGAATCCTATCCTAAAATTTTATTTGATACAATTCCAGTTATATTCTTCCGTCCCTCACTAAAAAAATTAGACCATGCAGAAGTAGAGATTAACTTACAACAAATATACGACTGTCCGGTGTATAAAACCAGTGAACGCCGTGGTGTGCTCTCCACAACTGGGCACTCCACCAACTTCGTTATGTATATGCAACTTAACTGCACAATGATTCCAACGCACTGGATTAATCGCGGTACTGCAAGTCTCTGTCAATTGGATGACTGAAAACTCTATTGTGCGATTTTCAAAACAAATTATTAAGTTGTGATATATTTTATGATTACATTCTGTTAAAATTAATATTATATTTTTATACTTATTTTTTGAATAAATCGAAAAAAATTTTCAAAGTAAACTCTTGAACAAGTTGTATTATAGCAAAAAGAGATTCACTATGATCGCAATGCTTTGCTCACTAAAAACCTAGGCTCATACTTTATTGTAATTCTAGTTGTAAATATTTATATTAATTTTATTTGTTTGATTTAAAAGGTATATGACTTAAAACATAACTTAAAAAGGAAACAACCACAACTTAAGCTCAAAGTTTTATAGAATTAATAATTAAAAAACGATATAGGTAAGTTAATCTTTTCAAGCCTGGCGACTTAATGTTTACGTCTAAAGTTATAATCGAAACAGACCAATGATGTTTAATACTTCCACAGAAAATTAGACGATCTAGAAGCTAGTACTTCCACTCTATTTCTGGAAATAACGTTTTTATCGTTCATATGTGTTTATTTCTCCAACAAAAGTCACATTGTAACACTCTATAAACATTCTTAAATTAATATTTTCGATATATATGTTATATGATGATTATTAAACAGTGCATTTTTAAAGCGCATCACTAACTGTTGAATCATTTTTGGACATTTTTTACTACTAACTTGACTAACTTTTTTGAACAGAACTTGAGCACTCGAGGTATTTTCAAAACCCCTCTTTACGCCTTGACTGGATTATTGTTTATCACTTCATAATATTATTCATCTCATAATAGAATAAGGAGATAAAGTAAAACTCATAAGCTCCGGATATACAAACATTTTGCGTTCACAAACATTTTGGATGTTAATTTTTCAACGTTGTCTAGTAAAAAGATAATGCTAGACAACATGCCTTAAATGCCGTGTTATAGAAAATAGACCCTATATGTTTAATATTTACATTGTAGCTTTAATTATAATATTAACAATTTTCGTAATTAAAATTTATTTTACGTATAATGTCTTGCAAAAATTATATCATATTTCGTATATGAAAATGTTATTTATTTGAAATAATTAATGTGAAATATATTATTTTTAATTAAACAAATAAATTAAGCATTATAAGCAAATTTATTTATAGACAATTACTTTATGCTAAACTCTTTAATGATACTAAAAATAGCTTCACTTAAAACACTTCAAAACAAATATCTTGAGTGTTTGAATGTGGCTCTCATCTGTCTACCATATAAGACTTCCGCCAGTAATTAGAGCTGTTAACTCCCATTGAACTACCCACACGTAAATCTTAAGCGTTAAAATCGTTTAAGATACAAAAGTCGAAATGTAAATTTATACAAAATAAATTTAGCATTGTATAGATATTTGCTTACTTTCGATTTTTGTCTACCATATTTGCTTATTGTAATACAAATGGTAAGTCGTTGTTAAGAGGAACAACAGTTGAAGCAGTAAAATATCTAACATCATTGAGTAAATACTTCTTCATGTGAATAAATACAGCACGTGAACGATATCTGAAGATGCGTTCAAGTGAAATATATGTGTACGTCGATTGCTAGCAAATGGCAAAATAAGTACAGAAAAAAACAGGTTTATAAAATAACAATTATTTTAGCAGAAATAAATGCTTTATAAGAATACTTCCGAGCAGAATTTATAGGTAAATATTTTTAGTATAAATACTGTAAATGCTCTGTGATTGAAACATATCAAACACAGACTTTAACGCATAAACACAAACGGATTTTTAAAATGGTTAGCATATTTTAATCAATTTAAAAATAAAATTGGATAAATATTTAAATATAAATAATTTTGTTTACAGAGGTTGTTTATAATTGCCTTTGCTTTGGTGGCCGTAACATCCGCTGCTTCGATATCAAATGAATATCTTGCGCCAGTCGCAGATAACAATTTACCAAATCAAGAATATTTACCACCTACTGAGGAAGAACAATCAAAGCTGGCTGATGATGGATATCGTTATAAAGTTGTACGAAAACTAAGACTTAGACACCGTCGTGATGTTAGTGAACTACCTGCCAATGATTATTTACCACCCACCGAAGAAGCGCAAGACGCACCAGTTGCAGTTGAAACTCCAGTTGAAGACACCGTAAAGGCTGAAGATGGTTATCGTTATAAAGTAGTACGTCGTTTGAAATATCGTCATCGTCGCGATGTCAACGAACTACCAGCTAATGATTATTTACCACCTACCGAAGAAGCACAGGACGCACCACTTGTAGAAGAAGCTCCAGTTGAAGACACAGTTAAAGGTGTTGATGGTTATCGCTACAAGGTAGTACGTCGTTTGAAATACCGTCATCGTCGCGATGTTAATGAACTCCCTGCTAATGACTATTTACCACCCACCGAAGGAGCGCAAGATGCACCAATTGCAATTGAAGCTCCAGTTGAAGACACATTTAAAGCTGATGATGGTTATCGTTACAAAGTCGTACGTCGTTTAAGATATCGTCATCGTCGCGATGTCAACGAACTACCAGCTAATGATTATTTACCACCTACCGAAGAATCACAAGACGTACCAGTTGTAGATGAAGCTCCAGTTGAAGATACTGTTAAAGCTGCCGATGGTTATCGTTACAAAGTCGTACGTCGTTTGAAATACCGTCATCGTCGTGATGTTAATGAGCTCCCTGCTAATGATTATTTACCACCCACCGAAGAAGCACAAGAAGCACCAGTTGCAGTCGAAGCTCCAGTTGAAGATACAATAAAAGCTGATGATGGTTATCGTTACAAAGTTGTACGTCGTTTGAAATATCGTCATCGTCGCGATGTCAACGAACTACCAGCTAATGATTATTTACCACCTACCGAAGAATCACAAGATGCACCAGTTGTAGATGAAGCTCCAGTTGAAGATACTGTTAAAGCAGCCGATGGTTATCGTTACAAAGTCGTTCGCCGTTTGAAATACCGTCATCGCCGCGATGTCAATGAACTTCCTGCTAATGATTATTTACCACCTACAGAAGAATCACAGGACGCACCAGTTGTAGATGAAGCTCCAGTTGAAGATACTGTTAAAGCAGCTGATGGTTATCGTTACAAGGTAGTACGTCGGTTGAAATATCGTCATCGTCGTGATGTCAATGAACTTCCAGCCAATGATTATTTACCACCAACAATAGAAGCACAAGACCAAGAAGTTGCTGTACAGAATCCCGAAGAGACTGCAGTTTTAGCTAAAGATGGCTATCGGTATAAAACTCTTCGTCGTTTAAAATATCGTCGTCATTGAAGCATAGGAAATTTAATACTCAAACAAATCTCATAGTTTAAATACAATATAAAACGAAAATATAGTATACACTGGAAAAAAAATAAAAATCTGATATAAAACATTTAATATTTTTTATTTCGGTTTAGCAAGTTTTTGTTAAACACTCAATGGTAATATGTTATACAGAAGTGTGGAAAGCTTTTCTTATCAATAACTGCTCTTATCTAATCAAGATTCGTTAAAAATATTCGTTAAAAAATGTAATGGGAGTGACTCCACTTTTGTTGGCGAAATTTAGTTGAAAAACGACTTTTGTGCTTTCATATTGAAATTTACGAACGAATTAAAGTAAATTAAGTTTTTCATTTTAAAAAATATATATAATTTATTAAACGAAATATAAATCGAAATGAAGCTGCTTAGAAATAGCTCAACATATTTGGTGATCTTCTTGAGTATGTAAAAATTGTTTTAAAAAATAATTAATAAGTGAAACATTTACAAATAATATTATGAGAATTCATCACATTTAATTTTAAATTGAAAATTTACGTGTGTGCATATTGCTACGAACTTATTACAAAACTTAACATAGTTTCATTGCTTATCAGCATTTGGTTTATTTACTTATGATAAGAAATTACTCATAACATTAAAAAAACTGGCATGAATCAGATTCCAGGTGAATTCATGAAATTTTTACAATGGGAACATCTAAAATTTCTTAAATAAAGTATATAAAAAATTTAAAATTTTATAAATAAATGAGGAAATGTATATATACAATACTTAACAAAATGTACTAATTGAAAATTATTAATAAATTATTAATAATTGTCTAGATTATAGATAAAATTATATTCATGAGTGTATTTATGTGCTATAACTAATTTAATTTAACCACTGTTATGTATTTTATGATGTCACAATATTGTAGTGAGAGTGTATTGATAAATTTTTAAAACTATTAATTTTCTATACATTTGGCGATCCAACATAACAATATAATTTTATCCTTGTATCATCATCAATTACACAATGTGAACCATATATTAATTAAACCTAACATGCATACGGCTTATATACCCATGCTTTCTGAATTAATATTAATATTAAAAATGCGTAGACAGAGCTTTTGTAGAGAAATTTTTATAAACCCAACTACACTAATCAGTTTTGTGCTGCTAACATAAGGCATTGTATTTTTATTATAATTTTATTGGAAAGACTAGTAAACACTTAACATGACCAATATGTGACCATACTGCAAATACCTGGTGTCAAAAAGTCTTGTTTACATTGGACGATACCATGTATTTATTTGAAGTGTTTGTATAATTTTTTTTTATGAACCCAGCAGTTTTTAGTGATATCAATTTCAGAAGAATCACAATGGCATCGATGCTTTACTCATGCTTTAAGCAACTTTGAGGAATCAAATGTGGGGAATATGGGAATATTTTGTAAAAATTTTAAAAATGTTTGCATAATCACTGATGCATCGATTCTTTACTCTGCTAGGAACCTCCATAGTCGTGTATTATTCTTGACCGCGTAGAGTAGCTTTCAGCAATCAGCGTATTGCTGTCTCCATTGAGTATTATTATAACAGTAGATTCTTTCTCATTCTATTATTCTGTTATAGGCTTCTAGGAACCTTCATAGTCGTGTATCATTCTTGATCGCGTAGAGTAGCTTTCATCAATCAGCATATTGCTGTCCCCATTGAGTATTATTGCAAAATAGTAAATTGTTTCTTATCTTATTATTCT